TGATTAGTGTGTTATTATGTTAATATCAACCATACCTTCTTCAGTCTCTCTCCTGGTTTGACTGATACTAGCAGTAGAGGAGCTTGAGCTAGTACTGTCTACAACACAAATAAATAAATAATAGTTACAGATCAATCGTCATAAACTAACTCATTGATAAAAGAGGAGGTGTTCGGTTGATGTAAACTATTTTTGAAGGATCTATTCCAGTTAATTTAATAGGACAGTGAAGTGGATCCTTAGCAATACCAGGTTTAGCATACACTGATATATGGATACTGGAACACATAGGATTGTCTATAAACTTGTCCACTACACATTGACATATCTATAATAATAGGTAACAGTCACACTGTGTATTATACACATGTACACTGTCACTGTTACATACTTGCATTGGGGATTGGTCAGGATGTACAGTCCATCCTGATTCAAGTGATGGAGTATCTTGTAGACACAACTGAAGGATACAATCAGGTTGATTGTACTTGAATGAAACAATTGGACCATCTTTTTCAGCTTCAGGATGTTCATTCACTAAATACTAAAATTTCAATAAATGACATTCCTCATAAATTACATTACATACTTGCTGAAGGACTTCTAAATCTCTAACAACAGAAAATGTAGTCATCCATTGATTAACTTCTTTCTTTTCATGATACATCATTCCAGTGTACAGTAGAGTAACTCCTGTATAAGAAATATAAATTAAAACTTAATAACTGTGACATATACCTTTGTCTTCATTTGGTTTTTGTTTCACTTCATCTTCAGTTGATTCATTGCTAACATTAGATGCACCTAATAATACAAAACCTCATAATGAATGTACTTAATAAACTATACAATGAATACATACCAAAAGTAGACTCAACTTTTACTTTCTGATTAGAGTCAGCAGTTACTGATTCTATTATGAAAATGAAACTTTATACAACACAACTACAGTCGCACATACCTTGAAATAGTCCAGTATTTATTGGTGGGGGAGTTCTCTCACTAGTCTCTCCTGCTCCATTACCACTATCATTATGTGTGTCATCAGTTGATCCTATTATTGTACATTATTAATAACAAAACACTAATGCCATGATACATGTACATGTACCTTCAGGTGGTGTCTCATAACCTTCCTCACTCTCACTGTCACTAGGTGTGTCTCCATTACTCATCTCAGCTACAATACCCATACAACTGAACTGCTCACGCTTTATTGATCCGTATCTTTTCCCAACTCTAAAAGATCCTCCTTCAACTATACTGAACTGGTAAGGAGACTTCAGTGGAGCTCTCACAAACTTGAGGCAACCAGTCTGACTAGTCTTCCTTAGATCCACACAATGTTGTAGCTCTATTACCAGTGGTTTTAATAGTGCCTTAGATACTGATATTGCATATACTGCACTCACTAGCACAGTACCTTTGGGTACCTTGAAATTACCACCAGCTAGTGCAGTAACAGCTACTTCAGTATCCTTGGACACTGCTCCATGAGGACACTCTAATCTGAATCCATATTTCTCCCACTGGAGTGAGTCAGACCTGTCTCCTTGTAGGATAAAGAGCTTCTGTCCAGCTATAATGACACTAGAGTCTAGTGAATCTGAAACAATACACACACATCATATCTAATACCAGTATAGTACACACACAATCATTCACATGTGTACATGTACATGAATAATTTACCCATTGAAGGGATCAGGTAATTAAATTGTAGTCCAATGGAACTAGTCTCTTTGATAGGTTGCTTGAGGACCATCTCTTGTCTTTCCTTCACTAGTTTGGCTATGTACAACTCCTTTTCTTTAAGGTCTATAAATTAATAGAATATTAATAATTATTATTGATTGATGATGATACACTAACCAGTAATGATCTGTTTCTCATTTGATGTCAGTTTAGCTATAACTTTGTCTTTCTCTGAAATGAGATTTTGATTGTCATCTACACAATAAACATATTGTCTCATCTATTACATGCTGTGTGTATAGTTAACTAACCAATAATGATCTGTTTATCGTTGAGATATTGTTCTTCCATATCAGCTACTTTCAGTTTCAGTTTTTCATAATCTTCTACATTAATAGAATATTCTCTCATCTAATATTATGTACTGATGATACACTAACCAGTAATAATCTGTTTCTTCTCCTCTACTTGTGTCTTCTCTTCCAATATTTGAATATCTTTAATTTTGAGCTTTTTGTAATATTCTATTAAGGATAAAAAGATATTTGTTGCTTATACAAATTCGCACTTCATGTACAGTAGCCCATAAATACATGTACTATGATTATTGCTAATCATACCATATATGGTAAGCAGAGCTCACTCTACATCAATCTCATTATTTCTAATGCATGCACAATTTGACCTATATTGAGTACAGGATACTATTTCCATACTCAACATTCTCTAATCCACTAGTATTATAATGTAAACAATGTACACATAAACAACAGTACAACACAATAGTACTTAATTCAACAGTTGATTTATCCTTTTCTGCTTGCTCAAGGAGAGTGGTAGCATCATCAAGTTGCTGACTAAGTGTTGCCTTTTCTTGAAGAAGCTGTTGCTGCTCTTTGTCTCGATCTTGTTGTATCTGCTCCTTCTCTTTTATCTCTTTTTGAAGCTGTTCCTCATAGAATTCTCTCTCTCTTTCTTGTAGGTGCCCTCTGAGTAATTGAACCTCTTTGCTTAATCCTAAATTCTCCCAATCACTCAGTATCCTTCTTCTTAGTTGATCTTGATACTGGTCCAGAGGTATTACACTAGTAGACCAATCATTATCACTAGTATATCCTATACAGTAACAAAATAGTGGAGAATAAGAAATACACAAATTAATTACAGTTAGTTACTATGGTTAAATACACTGATAATAATAATTCATTCACTCTAGTTTCTATTAATATCAGTGTTTCTGTATCTGCAGTCATTATGTTTCACTATTGTACAAAGCAGGAATGAATTTGTGATAATTAGTATCATAGGTATACGTCAAATGCTCTCATTAAATATTCATCAAAAGAATTACTTACTTTATTCTAATATTATCATTACTAATTATCATTACATATTCAATGCACATTGTATCTACTAGACTACTACTGTCTACATGTACTTACTGAGTTCAATAACTGCTGTATTAGTACTGTAGCTGTTTATTCCTCCTCCAAACTGAATTATCCAGTTAGTAGTTGGGGTCACACTCCACACTGATAGAGAATGCCAGTATCTCATAGTGACATTGACTGGTAGGTTAATCTATAAAATTAAAATTACAATAATTAATTTGTACATGACATATTAATTGATTTGATATCTGGTTAATAAATACAATAACTAACTCACAGTTTTATAGTCTTGCACAGTGTGTTTTATGTAACACAAAGATCACATAATAAAATTAATAATACACAATATATTAATAGACAAGTATACACAACTGAGTGTGTTATTATATCATGTGAGTCCTCAATTAAGAACTTACTAAGTGTCTGCATCTACACACATACACATACACATACTAATGACACACTAACACACATACATGTACATCTACACATGCATACACATATAAAGCTACATGTAAAGCATGCATAATTGCTCACACACATACACACACATGTACATGTTACATGTACACATGATGTACGTGTTAGTACACACATACACATATTAAAACATATGCACACATACACACAAATACATGTATGTACAATGTACATACACAATGTACATAATGTATATAAAATACAATTTATTTTAATTCCAGCATTGACACTCTATCAATTGTCAATCCATCTTTACACACACACACAGACACAGACACAGACACATGTACATGTATATTCACACATATTTAGGTAAAGAAACAAACACAAAACACAAAAAGACACAAACACATATTCACACTAAAAACAGACACACACACATATACTGAATACCAGCATTATTCATCAGTAGTTTTCACTGAGTATCATAATATGTACATGTACATTACAAACCTCATGAGTTACAAATTTAGTTAATCACTTTATGTTTCATTATCAAGCATCATAATATAATACTTACCAGTTCTTTCCATTTTCTTTTGTTAATATCCAGTAACCATACACCATAGACATCATATCCACCTACCACTAGTAAGTGTGGTCCTGAACTAGTGATAATCAGTACACTGGAATGAGCCCATCTTCCCTTAGGCCAATGTACTGATCCTCCAGGATTAGGTACTTCTAATATATCCTGAGAAAATAATAAATTAAATTGTAAATCTTTAATTGTAAATCCACAATTTGTGATCAAATAAATCTCGTAATTAAAATTACCCATCCTACAGTATTAACTCACCACTGATGTCTTAGTGAAACTTATCATATACAGTTTATTACTGACTCCATTATCAGTAGAGCCTCCGAACATTACCGCAGTGTTATTAGTAACTGGTGTTAGAGTGAAGGAATAAATAGGAGGTGGTCTGTCTCCAGTAATAACAGGAGATATCCATTGATCTAATAATAATGTACAAACATTCATGTACACTTACTTACCACATACACACACATACATTATACACATTCATCATACATATGTATGTGTATATGTGTGTACATTATTATTTATACATACACATCATGCATAGACACACATCACTATCACATGACACACACACACACACACACACACACAC